AGTTGGTCGGGGAAAGGGGCGGCGAGACCGAACTTCATTATCGCTGGGGAAAGTGCGAATCCTCTGATGCTGAGCAGCGTATTGTACATCCATCTTCTACTACTATTTTTACTAACATTACGACTGCTACTGCAACGGCAACTCTTACTACTATTACTACTATACTACTACTACTACTACTACTACTACTACTACCACTACTACTACTACTACTACTACTACGACTACTACTACTACTACTACTACTGCTACTACTACTTCTACGACTACTACTACAAATATTACTACTACTACTACTACTACTACTACTACTACTACTACTATTACTACTACTACTACTACTAGTACTACTGCTACTGCTACTGCTACTGCTACTACTACAAGTATTATTACTATTCCGACCACTACGACGACGACGACGACGACGACGACGACGACGACGACGACGACGACGACGACGACGACGACGACGACGACGACGACTACTACTACTACTACTACGGCTACTACTACTACTACTACTACTACTACTACTACTACTACTACTACTACTACTACTGATACTACTATTACTACTGCTACTACTGCTACTACTGCTACTACTGCTACTGTAACTATTAATGCTGCTAGCAGTGCGTACACACATACATACATACATGCATACTGCTACTACGACGTCGACTACTACTACTACTACTACTACTACTACTACTACTACTACTATTACTACTGTTACTACGGCTATGATTGCTGCTTCTATTACTACTCTTTCCGCTTACTCCAACTTGTACTTTTTTACGACTACAACTACTACTGCTACTTCGGGTACTGTACTACTCGTATTACTGACATCAATGCTACGACGACGACTACTACTATTACTACTACTACTACTACTACTACTACTACTACTGCTACTACTACTACTACTACTACTACTACTACTACTACTATTGCTCGTATTACTAGTGACACGATGATTACTCTTACTACTACCTACTACCACAGAACTACTACTGCCACTACTACGGCTACTAACCCTATTATCATTATTACGACTGCGACTACGACTACGACTACTACTACTACTACTACTACTACTACTACTACTACGACTACGACTACGACTACGACTACTACTACAACGACTACTACGACTACTACGACTAGCACTACGACTAGTACCATTACCACTCCTGCCACTACTGCCACTACTGTCACTCTTACTCGTACTTTAAGTATTCGTACTACTATTATTATTACTACTACTACTAGTGCTGATACTATTACCAATGCTACTACTACGACGACTACTACTACCAATACGTCCGACCATTATTGCTGCTACGAGTATGAGTTTTTTCCCCCAGCCATCTTGTGGTGTTGGGTCCTGGTTTTGAAAAGACGGACCCCGCGTTCCTCTCCTCTTCTCCTCCTCTTCCCCGTCCTCCTCCCTCCTTCCTCTTCCATGCGTTTCACTCACCCAGCACAGCGCTTCGAGGCCCCATAGGGGGTTCCACCGAAGGTCCCAGTGGCACCGCCCGCATGCGTCCGCCACCACCCAGCACAGCCATTGCTCCCTGCGTTTCACCCACCCAGTACAGCGTTTCGTGGCCCCATAGGGGGCTTCACCGAAGGTCCCAATGGCACCGCCCGCGTGCGTCCGCCACCACCCAGCACAGCCCTTGTTCCCTGCGTTTCACCCACCCGGTACAGCGTTTCGTGGCCCCATACGGGGCTCCACCGAAGGTCCCAGTGGCACCGCCCGCATGCGTCCGTCATCACCCAACACAGCCCTTGCTCTCTGCGTCTCGCCCACCCAGTACAGCGTTCCGTGGCCCCATAGGGGGCTCCACCGAAGGTCACAGTGGCACCGCTCGCATGCGTCCGCCACCACCCAGCACAGCCCTTGTTCCCTGCGTTTCACCCACCCAGTACAGCGTTTCGTGGCCCCATAGGGGGCTCCACCGAAGGTCCCAGTGGCACCGCCCGCATGCGCCCGCCACCACCCAGCACAGCCCTTGCTCCCTGCGTTTCACCCACCCAGTACAGCGCTTCGTGGCCCCATTGAGGGGACTCCAGCGAAGGTCCCAGTGGCACCGCCCGCATGCGTCCGCCACCAGTACAGCGTTTCGTGGCACCATGGGAAGCTCCACCGACGGCCCCAGTGCCAGCGCCCGCATGCGTTCTCCCCCACCCATGCAGCGTTTCGTGGCCATATAGGGAGTTTCACCGAATAATAAATTCACAATTGCGGTGCCCACAACTGCATATGGTTGGGTCTTGCGTCCGGATTTTTTCAAACCCGGTATCATTACTACTACTACTACTGCTGCTACTGCTGCTACTACTACTACTACTACTACTACTAATGCTAATATTATTATTACTACTACTACTATTAATATTATTTTTATTTGCTATCATTACTACTACTACCACTACTACCACTACTACCACCACTACTACCACCACTACTACTACTACTACTACTACTACTACTACTATTACTACTAAGACTACTACTAAGACTACTACTACTACTACTACTACTACTACTATTACTACTATTACTACTACTACTACTACTACTACTACTACTACTACTACTACTACTACTTCTATGTTACTACCACTGCTACTACTACTACTACTACTACTACTACTACTACTGCCGTTACTACTCCTACTACTACTACTCCTACTACTATTACTACTACTACTACTACTACTACTACTGTACTGCTACTACTACTATTATTATTATTATTACTACTACTACTACTAGTGCTACTACGTGCTCCTCTTCAATTTTTTCCTCCTCCCCCCACCTCTCATTTTCCAGGCCTTTCCCACAACTTTTCCATCTGCGGGGTTTACTATCAACGGGTACAGCCCACCATGAGCTCACACGCGCCGTGGAAAACAAAACAAAAATATAGGTTTGACAACAAGGATAGCTTTGGCCCCGAAACACATAGTTTTGTTTCCGATGCTGGATCTTGCGCCCCCTCTTCTTTCATCCCGTCCCACCTCTCTCACCCTCCCTCCCTCCCCCATTACTATTACTACCACTACTACTACTACTATTACTACTACTACTACTGCTACGAATCTTACTGTTACTACTATTACGAGTTCGACTCCGACTACGTCTGCGATTGCGATTGCTACTGCTACGATTACTATTAGTATTGCCACTACTAGTACTACTACTACTACTACTACTATTGCTACTACTACTACTACTACTATTACTACTACTACTACTACTACTACTACTACTACTACTACTACTACTGCTACTGCTATTACTATTGTTACTATTATTACGACTGCTACTACTACTACTGCTACGACTACTACTACTTCGACTACTATCACTGCGACTACCATTATTTCTGCCTTCACCACCACCACTATTGGTAATAGCTCTGCTACTACAACTAATGTAGTAACCTCAAAGTATTAAATGTTTGCCACCAGCCACTAACTACTACCGAGTACTTGCTAATCAATACATTCGAACTGCTACTACCAGTGCTGCTACCACCATTCTTACCACTACTACTACTACTACTACTACTACTACTGCTACTATCACTACTACTATTAGTGCTAGTACTACCACTACTACTAGTACTAGTACCACTACTACTACTACTTCTACTACTACGACTACTTCTACTTCTACGGCTTTTACTTACTAATACTATTATTATCGAGATCACCGTTACTAGTGCTACGACTACTACTACTACTACTACTACTACTACTAGTATTTTCATTACTACCTCTACTATTACAGCTTCTATTACTGCTGCTTCTACTAGTACGATTCTACTACTCTTACGGCGACGACTACTACTACTACGACTACGGCGACGAGGGCTACTATTACTACTATTTCTTCTATTGATACTGCTGCTGCTTCTATTATTACTGTTACTACTAACTAGGACGTCTCACGACCTACCACCTACTACCTGCTACCACTGACGTGCTGCCTAGTATCTGCTGCCTACTACGTATTACTGCTACTACGACTACTACTACTACTACTACTACTACACTGCAAGTACTACTACGGTACTACTATTCATATTGCTGCTACAATGAAGAAGGTTGATACACCGACTACTGCTACTACTACTGTATTACTATCACTACCCTCAGTAATACTCGTATCACTACTCTTACTACTACTACGGCCACTATGACATACAACAACAACAACAACCACCATTACTATTACTCGTACTGCTTCTACTACTAATACTACTATTACTACTAGTACTTTTATTATTATTACTACTACTACTACTAACAACAGTACTACGACTATAGCAACCACTACTTCTTCGTCTACTTCCTGTCATTCACTACTACTACTACTACTAGTACTACTACTACCACTACTACGACGAACACTACGACCACTACTACTACTACTACCACTACTACTACTACTACTACTACTCCTACTACTACTACTACTGCTACTGCTACTACTACTACTACTACTACTACGACCTACTACTACTACTACTACTACTACTACTCCTATTCCTACTGCACCTGCTACTACTACAAGTACTACAAGTACTTCTACTCATGCTTCTACTGGTATACTACTTCTTGTCTACTACTACTACTACTACTACTACTACTACTACTACTATCACCACTACTACTACTACTACTACTACTACTGCTACTACTACTACTACTACGACCTACTACTACTACTACTACTACTACTCCTACTGCACCTGCTACTACTACAAGTACTACAAGTACTTCTACTCATGCTTCTACTGGTATACTACTACTACTACTACTACTACTACTACTACTACCACTACCACTACTACTACTACTACTACTACCACTACTACTACCACTACTACTACTACTACTACTACTACTACGACTTCGACTACGACTACGACTACGACTACGACTGCATCAACTACAACTACAACCACAACTACTACAACTACTACAATACAACTACAACTACAACTACAACTACAACTGCACATTCAACTGCAACTACAACTACAATAACTACTCCTGCTACGTGGACGGCGACTACTATTCCTACTGCTATTGCTACACCTTCCGATCCCGAGGAGCGCCAGAGAAGTTGAAGGATCTCCGAGGAACATTTCCCATCCCTACCCCCGTACAGACGAGTTGCCGGGACGATGAAGTTAAAGTCTTTCCCGACGCCCGGACCTTTATCATCCCATGCCCATGACAGGGGCATGCGGTTACATGAGCCCTACCAACCAGCATCTTGGCATTCTTCCATGCCTCAACGTGCCAGCGGGCACAGTGGCAGATCGGGGGATGTCGGAAGTATGGGGACGTCGGCGCCGATTCCAACAGCGTCGGTCGCGCCCTCCAGGAAGAAGGGGGTCCCCCCATCTCGGTGACAGGGCTTTCTTTAGGCCCCTGGATTGGCCGAGCTGTCGTCGCCAACGTCAACCTCGCCGACACTGGTGCTGGTTCCGACGTCTGGGCACCCCAGAGGAGCGAGAGCTTCTTGCACGCGAAGGACGGCGCTCTCTCGGGCTTGATCTCGGGCATGCCGCTCTCCACTGTGGAGCTGGTGCCAGCATGACGAAGGGCTGCGTGAGCATGCACTCGGCGGCGAGTGAGGGGGGAAGTGATAAGGATAATGCAAGGAGGATGCCTCCTCAGAAGTCGGCCGGACTTCTCAAAAGCCCCCTCGTGCCGTCTGATCAGTTTTCTATGTCTTCGGGGAAGACTTAGAACACTTGTCAGGAGGCCAGTGGACTTCCGAGCTTTCTGAGAAGGCCTTCTCCTTCTCACTCCTCGCCCAGGCGCGCCGCCGATACACTCGGAGTTTTCGCGCGGATTTCTTCGTTCGAAGGTGCCCCTCCCAAACACGCCTTCCCACGTCCCTTCCCCGCGCGCGGAGCGTGCCTGGGCGTCGCTGGAGGTGTCGCTGAAGGCGTCGCCTGGGGGGTGGGCACCACAAAAAACCACAACCACAGCTAAGTCGGTGTTTCGGGAGGGCCCCTTGGGGGAGAAGCCACCGACCTCGACATGAACACTTTGGTTGTGGTTGTGGTCGATTTTGCCGTCCTGGGACGCCACATCGACCATAACCAGTACGAAGCTGGTTTCGGCGCTCCGACAATATATTAGGCATGCGCAACACATCCTCCAGAGTGTGTCCTCCATATGGTTGTGGTCGCTTGCTGTCCCGGCATGTCAGGGGCACCGCTTGAGGGGTATAGGCTCAAGGGGGGTGAGCGCATCGACCTCCAAGGAGGAGCAGGAGGAGGAGGAGGAGGAGGAGGAGGAGGAGGAGGAGGAGGAGGAGGAGGAGGAGGAGGAGGAGGAGGAGGAGGAGGAGGAGAGTTGAAGCAGAAGAAGGAGGAAGGGAGGGAGGATAAGGAGGAGGGAGGAGGAGGAGGAGGAGGAGAGAGGAGGAGGAGGAGAAGGAAGGAGGAGAGGAGAGAAGGAGGAGAGAGAGAGAGGAGGGGAGAGTTGAGGAGGGGAGGAGGAGGAGGAGGAGGAGGAGGGAGGAGGAGGAGGAGGGAGAGTTGAGGAGGAGAGGAGGAGGAGGAGGAGAGGAGCGGAGGCGGAGGCGGAGGCGGAGGCAGGAGGCGGATAGGAGTAGGAGGGGGTGCGGGAGCGGAGCGGAGGCGGAGGAGGAGGCGGAGGCGGCGGAGGAAGGAGGAGGATTAGGAGAAGGAGGATGAGGAGAGGAGGGGGAGGAGGAGATGGAGAGGAGGGAGAGGAGAGGAGAAGGGGGCAGGGAGGAGGAGGAGGAACAGGAGGAGGTGGAAGGTGCAGGATGAAGGAGAGGGGAGGAGAGAAGGAGGAGGAGAAGAAGGAGGGTGTCGGGTAGGAGGAGGAGGAGGAGGAGCAGAAGGAAGAGCAGGAGGAGGAGGAGGATGAGGAGGAGGAGGAGGAGGAGGAGGAGGAGGAGGAGGGGGTGGGGGAGAAGGAGGAGGGGGCGGAGGAGGAGAAGGACGACGAAAATGAGGAGGAGCATAACGAATCACAACAAACCATCATACTATTAAGAATAGTAACAATAGTACTGCTACTAGCTATCCAATACTACGATGACCATGGATACTACTACAGCGCATAAGCATACACATGATACATATACGACTCCTCACACTAATAATAATGGCGATGATGTGGATAATTGTACAATCAGTGCTGATACTACTACTATTGGATAGTATGACTATGAATATTACTAATACGAATACTAAGTATACGAATACTGATAATACTATAGTTGCGAAGAGTAATACTAGGACGAATCATAAACAAGAAAACGGACACTAACAATACTCATACGAATAAAACTCGATCGTAATACTAAGAATAATACTAGGAGGAGGAGGAGAAGGTTGGGGAGGTTGGAGGAGGTTGGGGAGGAGGAGGAGGAGGAAGACGAGAACGAGAAGGAGGAGGATGAGAAGGAGGAGGATCAGGAGGATGATTCTGAGGAGGAGGAGGGGGAGGAAGAGTTTTAGGAGGAGGAGGAGGAGCAGGAGGAGGAGGAGGAGGAGGAGGAGGGGCAGGATGTTTTTTTGACATCTACGGCTGCATGCCCCCTCTCAAGGGGACCAGCTTGATGGCAATAGCTGAACATGATTGGCCCTTCTCAGATACACAAGTCAGACCCGTCAGTGCAGTCGGAACGAGCACAACGATGGTTATCATCTGCTTCAAGTTTCGGGTTCAACCACGGAGGCAAAACGCGGTTCTCTGGTCCTGGGCGGTCGACACCCCTTTTCCTCGGAGGCAGAACGCACATTGCCGAAAAGTGTTGGTCCAGACCCAATCGTGGTCGGGACTGTTGGGCTGGGAAGGGGGAGAAGACGAGGAGGAGGAGGACGAGACCCAAGGAGGAGGAGGAGGAGGAGGAGGAGGAGGAGGAGGAGGAGAAGGAGGGATGAGTAGGAGGGAGGAGGAGGAGGAGGAGAGGAGGAGGGGAGGAAGGAAGAGGAGGAGGAGGAGGAGCAGAGGAGGAGGAGGGAGGAGGAGGAGGAGGAGGAGGAGGAATTGAGGAGGAGGAGGAGGAGGAGGAGGAGGAGGAGGAGATTGAGGAGGAGATTGAGCAGGAGGAGGCGCAGGAGGAGCCTCTCCTGGCGCCCTCCCCCCCCCCCCGAGGTGCCGCTGCGCGCCCCGGCTTCCGGGCGCCTCGTGCGGGAGGTCTGGCTCCCGCGGAGCGGGGGCGTCCTGCTCGAGCCGCCGCGCCGCGCCCCGCCGCCGCGCCCCGGCTCGCCGGAGGACGGCGAGGAGGCCGAGGAGGGCCCAGGAGCCGGCGGGGCTCGGGAGGGAAAGAAGCACACAGATCGGGAGCCTCGAGACGGGGGTCAATGCAAACGGGGGTCAGCCAGAGCGCCCGATCTTGCAGGATCCTGCAGGGCCAGGGTCGCATTGACCCGGGTTTGGGTGCAGGATCTTGCAGGATCCTGCAGGATCCTACGCATTGACCCGGGTTTGGGTGCAGGATTTTGCAGGAGTTCGCAGGATCTTGCAGGCCTGACTGACCCGGGTCTGGATTGGCCCGGGTCAGGAGATCCCCGAACAGACACAATTAATCGTCGATGCTCCAGAAAATAGGGGAAACTATGGGAAGTGGGGGGGAAGACAGGAGCACAGAAGATATGAGAAAAGATGGGGAATCCTTTTATCTGTGTGTATTTATGTGTGTGTGTGTGTGTGTGTGTGTGTGTGTGTGTGTGTGTCCCAGGGCCCCTTCACAGGAGCCGGCGGGGTCAGAGCCCCGAGGCCCCGGCGCTGGGCCTCCCGGCTGTCGGTGGAGGAAGAGGTCCCCCTGCCTCTGCCCTGCCTTTGCTTTCCGGCCCTCGTCGCCACCGTCGGGTTCAGGAGAGGAAAAAACACACAGACACAATTCATCCTCGATTCCTCAGAAAATATTGGAAAATATGGGAAGTGAGGGGGAAGACAGAAACCCAGAAAATATGCGAAAATATGGGGAGTATTTTTATTTGTGTGTATTTATTTGTGTGTCCTGGGGCCCCTTCACGGGTTCGCCTCGAAGTCCTGGTGAGAACGCGCCCTGGGAGATGTCCGGGGAGCAGCGGAATCGATACCTGGCATTGGCAATGGCAACGCCCTGGCTCGCCTACAGGGACGCCCTGGCTCGCCTATGTGCAGGGGCGGGACGTCCGGGCTCGCCTGTGGGCCTACCAAAGAATGTTCAAGAACCTTTTGTGGCCTGCACGAGATGTTCTTAGAGCATTTCTGGCTGGGGCTGTCTTGTTGTAACACATCGGGCTTATTCTCGGAGCACGGTTTTTGTTCTTAGAACTCTTTTAGGTTATACGAACACTTCGTGGTATGCCTACAGGAATGCCGGGACCGTTGGCCCCTGCTCAACTGAGGCCCTGGCCCTAGGCCTCCCAGATGGGGTCCGAGTAGATGGGGTCCGATAATCACGCTGCATCGCCGATGCGTCGCCGATGCGTCTCGATGTGGAGCTCGACTCTCGTCACGCCGACGTCGCCGATGCATCGCCAGCTTCGCCAGTGCATCGCCGAGGCATCGCGCCGATGCATCGCCGAGTCATTGGTGATGCATCGACGACTCGGCGCGATTCTCCGATCCCAGGTGCTCCGGCCCCATCTGGGAGGCTCAGACGTTTGGGCGCTCGAAACCGGGTACGATGCCCAACAGTCACCACCCACCAAACCACCCCAACCCAACCCGAAGGCCTCGATTTGCCCTCCATTTCCAGTGGGGGGGGGTCGGGGAACCTCGAGAAAACACGTATGGAACCCGTGCCCCCCCCAACCCGAAATTGGGGTCTTCGGGTTGGGTTGGGGTGGTCTGGTACGATGCCCAACGGCAAGCGTTTGTCCAATAACCGACGGGGGCCGCCGTCGGGCGCGCGAGCTTTTTTGCCTCGAACGGACCATGTCCGCGGCGGCGCCGACGGCGAATCCTGTTCAGAACGGACGGGGGCTTCGTCGGTTTTCGTACCCAGTATTTTCGGGTCGGGCGAAAGGGGGGGATTGGGAAAGGGGGGGTTACGAAATTTGCTGCATGCAGCTGGTTTCGGCCTCACCGAAGGGCCAATTCCTCGATACATGGCCGCTCCCGGCGCCGGGAGGCGCCGGGAAAATCAGCTACGTGAGCTGATTCTCACCCCCCCCTTTGCTATCCCCCCCTTTCGCCCGACCCGATATTTCCTTACCCGTTGCGATCGTACCGACCCTAGCTTAGATGCTCGTCTTGGAGATCTCCCCGTGGCCCACCCGGCGGATCTGTTCGGTTCAAGGTCGGCTCCAGTTCGACGTCGACTGAGGGGGTCAGAACTCACAGGTGATTCTCCGCCCCCATCCCCGCGTTGCCCGCGAAAAAACACGTCGCTCCCAAACAAGGGCAGAGTCAGGGTTACACCTTCAGGGCTCCCCTCCTCCTCCTCCTCCTCCTCCTCCTCCTCCTCCTCTGTTTCTCTCGTCTTCTTTTAGTTTCTCTCTCTCTCTCTCTTTCTCTTCTCTTTCTCTACATGTTTGTCTCTCTCTCTCTCTCTCTTGCTCTCCCTTTTTTTTTTTTTTGTTTTTTTATTCTCTCTCTCTCTCTTTCTTTCCCCTCCTCTCTCGCTGGTCGGCTTCCCAAGACGTGAGCTCCGATCCCCAGACTCCCCCCGAATCATCCAAACGAAAACGCAAGGTTTGCAATGCCAGGGTTATGGAGATCCTGTGTTTTCATTTTCTGAGAGTCCCGGGGTGAGAATTGAGGAACCCATGTGTTTTCACATGTTGTGTGTGTGTGTGTGTGTGTCTGTGTGTGTGTGTGTGTTTTGTTGGACTTCTGGAGCTCTGAACTTTCGGGGGTTCTTGGGTGGGATTTCGCGGGCAGATGGAACTCCCAAGCGCCCACCCATATGGAATGGGGGACGACGACGACGACCACCACGACGACGACCACGACGACGACCACGACGACCACGACCACGACCACGACCACGACCATGACGACGAACGACGACGAACCACCTCGAACCCACCGGGGGCGGATCACAGGTACTCTCCACCTCGGCACGCCCACAGGGCCACGACCACGGGGCGCGGGGAGCGATCCCATTCGCGATGCCTTCGCGAGGCTCACGGGCGCACTCGTCCAGCGGGGTGGGGAGGGGGCTCGATCCCACATGCATTGGGGGGGGAGGGGTGCAACCCCGGATCATGTTTATACACATCCTATCAACAGAGTTGGCACGCCCGCAGCAGGATACGGCGCCGTTTTCTCGAGGAATTCGATCCACGAGGACGCAGCGCTGGCAATGTTCAAGGCCTCGGCGGCGGGAGACCTGCCAATGCGGGCGAGGAGGAGGAGGAGGAGGAGGAGGAGGAGGAGGAGGAGGAGGAGGAGGGGCGAGGAGGAGGGGCGAGGAGGAGGAGGAGGAGGAGGAGGAGAATGAGGGGCCGCGGCCCTTCCTCTCAGGGGCAACCTCGGGGGGGGATCTGCCCAGGGGGGAGTGCGTCGACCTCCAACCGCCCACTGGTCGCCAACAGGGGCTCGACAGCCCACCCCGCCCAGGACTCTGCGGCTTCATGTTCGGGGGCCTGTCGCCGATCTATCGGCGATGCACTGCCGACTCCAGGTCGATGCTCCCCCCCCTCCTCGGGCCGGTCCCCCCTCCCCGTATCGTTCCCCCTCATCCTCGTTGTCGCACCTCTGGGCACCCTCGGGGGCCCGCATCGGCACGGCCGGACTCGCCTCGCATTCATGGCCAGAGCGCGCCCGATGAGAGCTCCAGGGAGCAGCGGCAGCGGAGCTTTTCTTGGCTGTCCCCCCAGGCCGCGCTGTGCGCCGCGGCGCTCCTGTCCCAGGCGCTGCTGTGGTGCCACCTTCCGCAGCGGGCCACCCCCCAGCGGCTTGGCGCCCTCGTCTGGCTCTGCATCCTCGTGTCGAATGTGCTGTGGGTGGCATACGCGGCGAACCTCGTGTACAGAAGAGTGAATTCGGCCCAGACGGACAGCGATTACGTGTTCGGCACGGGAAGCACGTGGGCTGACCGCAGGATCAACGTCGGCCTCTACCTAAGCCTCGTCCTGCTCCAGATGCTCGACGTCCCGGCGAGCGTCCGCGACTCGGTGTCGCTGTTCCACCCGTGGAGGCCCCCGCGGCCGGTCTGCGCCCTCGCCGCGGGGTCGCGGCGTGCGGTGGTGGTCGGCTACGCCAGCAAGCGGCATTTCGAGGCGGAGAACCGGAACGACGGGAGCTCGGGGGGGGGAGACACCCGGGGCCCCCAGACGGTGCGGGGGCACCACACCGCGCGGCGAGTCGGCGGATGCTCGGGGTGGCCGAGCGGCCCTCCGAGGAGAGCTCGGGCGACGAGGGCCTCCGAGGTCCCAAAGCCGTGCGGTGAGGTCTCTTGGGATTTCGAGGTCACCGCACCGTTTTCTGTGATCCCCCCAAGTAGCAATTCTTCACGTTTCGCGTATCCCCACCAGCTAGTTCCACCAACTGCAGCCCCTCAGCCGCCGCTTCTGAGCGCTGGCCCGGCCGTCTTGCGCGTCGCTCAGTAGCTAATTCGGCTGGCCCGCGCCCCGGGCCCCCCTTTCGGCGACAGCTTCACGCGTCTGCCCGCGACCAAAAAAGTATCCCCACCAACCCGACTGGTGTTCGGACGGCTTTCGACCCGCCTCGCGAGCCTGTTGACCAAAGAGTATCCCCACCAGCCCGATGAGAAACGTGTCGGATGAGAGCTGACGGAGAAACAAGAAAAGACACATATAATCCGATGACAGAAATAAGGCGACAATTCACCCCCTCTGTGACAGAGGGTGTTAATTTGGAACCCGCACCACCCCCTCTGTGACAGAGGGGGTCGGCATTTCTATCTCACATGTGAGACTCACGTATTTCTAGCTGCATGCAATCCATTCGTCATCACGTTCTCTCATGCAATCCATTCCGTCATCCTATTATGCTTGCAATTCTCTCGCGTGCCATCCTCTCATGCAATCCACTCCGTCATCATATTATGCTTGCGTTGTCTCCCTCTCTTCCCCCTCGCTCTTCCTTGTTTGTCGTCGTCCTACTCATTGCCCACTTCGCGCTTCTTCTTTCTTTTTTGTTTTTTGTTTTTTTCCCCAGCTTCCGCCATCCATCCACGTCGCGTCGTCTGCCGCCTTTTTTCTCAAACCTAATTCCCGCGCGCGTGGTGTTGCTCGCGGGCAACGTTGCAGGCGGGCCGTTCGCGGCCTTACGCGCGGCCTGCAATGGGCGATGGGGGACGGAACACCTGGGATGGTGAGGCAGGGTGGTGGTCCAGCCGCAGCAGCGGCTGGCATCGGCGTGGCTGGGAGGATGGCCATGGTTGGTCAGGCAGCGGGTGGCGAGAATGGGGGGAAGATTGGGGCGCGCCAGATGGCGCTGCCGCTGCGCGAGACGTCGGTGCCGCCGCAGCAGCGGTGGACACGAGGCAGTCTCCTTTCGACGCGATTGGCGTCGTGAGCCCCATCGCCCCTGGTCTTGGCAATCCCGAGTTCCAGAACTTCGTGAGGGTTACCCTTCGCAGGATGCCACAAGAGGCGCCTGAGGAGCGAGGCCCTGCCGCTGCCGCATCAGCGGCGGCTTGCGGGCCGCAGGACGTAGAAAAGTTTGACGTCGATTAGTTTTTACAATATGAGGAAAGGCTCGGCGATTCTTTTCGACAGCACAACGAAGCGTTGATGTGGTGGCGGTACGTCACCGAAAACGCAGAACACCCGTTCGAATCCGAAGGGAAGTGGTTTGACAATGTGGAACCCACCATGGTCGCCGAGTGCGACCACGGTGAGAAAACGGCCTTTGGTTTCAAGGACGAGGAATCCCCGTGGCGGTGGCAAGAGATGGTGGCGGCGCTCAGGGACGATGATATCAGGGGGGTCGTGGGAGGGCCCCATAGCAGTGGGGCTCTGGTCGGCTGTTCTCTTGAAATTCGTCCGGATAGCTACGACCATAAGCGTCTAAGCGTCTTGCGCGCGGCGCAGTTCGCGGGGCAGCGGGTGAAAGTGAAATTGCCGATGTGGGATTTCGTGCATCATCGCGACGACGGAACGGCCGTCCGTTTGCACCCGCGTTGGGGGGGCAGGAAAGTGGAAGCGCTGGCCCTCGCGCCCCGCGCGGAGGCGGTGATGCCACCGAACGCGGGCTTGGGCCAGAGCGACGGGCCCGGGACGTTTCGCTATTGCGCGTCAGTGGGTGTCGAGCGTCGGTTTCGGTTCGACGCCACCAAGGAGAAGCGGCGTTCGACGCAATCGCGGGGGCCCCGTAACAGCGGAGCTTCGGAGCTCATGGAAGCGCGATTCCTCAGGTCCGTCGGCCAGGTCGCGCCGACGCGCGGCTCTTCAGCAGGGGCCGCCGCAGCAGGGGCCGCCGCAGCAGCGGCTGGCTCCGCAGCAAGCGGGTGATGGGCTGGTGTGAACAGCTCCGCAACAGCGGGGCTGTCGTTACCGTGAGGCGCGCGGGCAGCGCGCGCTGTAGCGGTGACGTCGGAGCGCGCTTGGAGGCGCCATTTCGTGGTGCTGCAAATGCCTTCCCCTCCATCCAGTTTCCCTCCCCTCTCACGACGTCTCCTTGTCGCCAACCTCCTCCTCCTCTTCCTCCTCTTCCTCTTCCTCGTCCTCGCCCCCCTCCTCCTCCTCCTCCTCCTCCTCCTCCTCCTCCACGTCCTCCCCCTCCTCCTCCTCCACCTCATCTTCCTCCTCCTCTTCCTCCTCCTCCTCCTCCTCATCCTCCTCCTCATTTTCCTCCTCCTCCTACTCCGTCGGAGGGCCCTGCCGAGAAAAGCAGCGCCGTCGCACTTGCCGATGCCAAGGCTGCAGTGGAGGCATCCCTGCAAGAATCTGCGAAGGCGGCGGCCCTCTCAGGGGGCCACGAGCGGCGGGGCAGGACTGGTGGGGCAACTGGCAAGAGCGATGGGTCAACTGGCGCGACTGGGGCAACTGGCAGGAGCGACGGGGCAGGCGCGACGACAGACGACAGACCCAGTGGAGCGAGTTGCCAACGAGGCAAGATATGCATCAGGTCTCAGAGGCCTTTGGCCGCTTGGAGAACACATTGAACGAGGTGCGGGCTGAAAATGCACAAGGGCGCTGGGCGTATTTCCCTGGAAGGCACGACGTGCCTTGAAGACAGTGCAACCCGAACGACGCGAACACGCCAGGCCAAAGCTCCACAGACCCCAACCCTTGGGCAGAGTTGAGCTGAACGATCGCAGAGCGGCCGCCCCTCCGCAACAGCGGGGGGAGGGGCTCATCGATCGAAAAGCGGCCCTCCGCAATAGCGAGGGGCCTGGCAGCGCGTCGTGAGCGGGGCCGCGTCGCGCGCGTAGTCGTGCTCGGAGATCGTTGCCCCAGCGCGCGATAGAGGGAAATATTGCCTCTCCTCCATTTTTTTGCTTCTCACTCCACGCTGTCGTCCGTGCTGTCGCCGCTTCCTTTTCTCAATCTGTTGCTTCTTCTTCCGCCCCCATCTTCCATCTCGCCAATGTATTTTTTTGTCGCTTCTATCATCATCGATCGCGCAGCGCGCGGCGCGACCCCCTCTGTCACAGAGGGGGTCTATCAACGACCCCCACTGCCACAGAGGGGGGCCAAAAACCAATTGTCGCTTTATTTCTGTCATCGGATTAGTGAAACAAAGCGGGCAACCAGGATGATCGCAGAGATCTCTGGCAGCAATGGGGGTGGCCTTGGAGGGCCTCTTCGGGCCATCCGCGGGGCCCGTGGGGAGGGAAGCAAGGGGGGGGGGAAGGGGGGGGAAAAGGAGGAGGAGGAGGAGGTCCGTAGCAATTGTGGTTCAAGGCCAAACGGTGAAGCTTAAATGAAATAGCGAATGCTGCTTAGTTTTGGGGTATCCGTCAGTTTGTCAAACTCGGGCGCAGGCCAGTTCTGTCTGGTCACGATTCAGTCTCTTTCTGTTCCTCGCTGCTACTCTCATTTGATTTTGGCGTTGACAGCGAAGTGCGATGTCGGCGGCGGCTGGATCTGGAAGCGCCGCTGGCCGATCAGGGACTCCCAGCAGCAAGGGGCCTGCAGATGACATGGTGCTGCCCGACGGTCGAGGGGGGGCTCGACCTTGCGGCGGCCGTGTTCATATCGGTGCGGGATTCAAGGCGTGCGTCGGCGGCGCGCGTCGGGGCTTGTTGGCGCAAGTCCAAAATGTCAAGAAGACAGTCGCTGACTGAGTGCTCACGTCAATTCGTTGTTGGACGCGCACTCGAAGCAGATGTCGGGCGCGTGCCGTGGTCTGGGTCGACAGGTTTTGCATGGGGTTGAGGCCGTCAAGTACAGGATATCGCCGATGGAATCGGAGTTTTCAGATCATCGTGGGCAGTTGGTGGCATTGGATGGCGACAGCAAGCGTTTACGACTGGAGATGGACAAACAATTGGGCAGTGCACGTTCGGTCACTCCTGCGCCCATCCTGCGGTCAGTCCCCGGCATGCCCTTTCAAGGGAAGTCGACCCGTGCATCGTCATCTGTCGCTGCGCCAATCTCATGCCCAAGCAGAACGTGTTCAATCTAATGCGTGCGTGGTTGGTCGATGCGAGTCTCCTGGATTGCGGGTTGGGCCTAATGGGGGGCCCGGCGTCAAATCGGATCATCGTGCGCGTCAAGGGGCAGGTGGGTTTCGTTTCTCGGTGGGTTTTCGCTGCTACGACCGTTGGCCCTGACATGGGCGCGGTTTCTATCCAGGGGGAGATCGCGTTCAAGTGCGCGAACAGTGTTATTCCGGAAATTCCCGCGGACAGGACCTTCTATATTGACGATCAGAACGGCTCCATGCCAACCATTGTAAAAACGCAGATCCATCCTGCTCCCGATGCTGAAGTTCCTGGGGTCATGTTCGCACGGGCTTGCTTCGCGTCCGAGGGTGCCCGGCGTGCGCAGGTCGAAAGTCTTCTTCGCAGTGCATTGCGTACGGGGGATTATTCGACTGAGTGGAGAATTTAGCAGGGCCCACATTTTGTGGGCTGGTGGGCATCTAGATGATGTCCCGCGTCGCGCCGCATCTTGGAATGTTGCTGCTCTGCTCCGCGGCGAGAGCCCGCGGCTAGCAAAGCTCGCGTGCCTCACGAAGCCTCTCCGTTCGGGAGCTCTGATCGCTTTGCAGCAGGTGAGCGGCGCCGATAGTGGCATCCAGGATTTCCTCCACTCCTCTGACTTCGCCTCGTCCTTTTCTACCGCGTCGGCCTTCTCCCCCGTCTCCCTCCGCGCGGGTGGCGTC